TAAATCATTTCTGTTCTTAATTAATTGTAATTTTACGATGACCTTCAGACCGCAGCTCTTTCGCCAGCATTGCCTCTTAATACCTCTCACACCACGGTTAATGGTATGGTTTACAACATGGAGTATACTAGGGCTTCGCAGCTGTCTCTCTCCCCCTCCTCTGTTCCGACCATGGACGAACTCGTCCGTCTGAACGGGGCCCGTAGCTATCCGTGGTACGGAAATTTGAGGGTAAGAATCCACCCATTTTTTCGCCATATAGCATTGTGATATATAACGACTTATGGTTGGTAGCTTAGCTGATTGGAGAATATAGAGTTTATTGATAACATGAAGGTAATTTATATTTTAGTTTTTATTGGTACACTATATAGTACTGTGAATAGCTCAGATTTGTAGTCATTTCTGTGACCAGTCACTAGCAAATCACCCAGTTATTTCAATGCTAAATTCGCCTAGTTATTTCAATGCTAAATTCTCCTGTTTTGATTTGTACTAAGTGCCTCGGTGAATGTGTATGCTCTGACTTCAACGTAACTATTTCTGTAGCAGTTACAAGCGAATGCCTTAATTTAGCTATTTCAATGCTAAATTCTATGCTAATTCCTTTTAACAATGGGTGCCTCTGCGGATGTGTATGCTTTAACTTTTAACATAGCTATTTCTGTGACCAGTCACAAGCTAATCATTCAGCCTTTTCAATGCTAAATTTTATGCTAATTCCTTCGTCAAGGCTCTTTGTTCCTCTCACACAGCTTAAAAGCCGTGATCTGAACGTGGCTCTCTCACTCCAGCGCTGTCCTACCAGACAGTCTCGCTCCCTTCACCTGATGAAGGCCGCTTGTGTTGTGGCCGAAACGTCGTGAGAATATTATTGTGTTATTTTATTTTATCAATTTATTATTTTATTCTCATTCTACGTGACTTTACCGAAAGAACCAAAGAAGATGAATCATTGCAGTCACGAAAGCTTTAAATCGAAATTTAAACTCCACTTACTCTCACTGTCGGACGGGGATATCATCCAAACTCCACTTACTCTGTAGGACAGGGGGTGATCATACAAACAGCACTCACTCGCACTGTAGCACAGGGGTGGTGGTGGTGCAGCTGCCTCCAGATTGGGTGGTAGTCGTGACTATATCACATCACATAATCCATTACACCGACACTCACACTTGATCCAGCACACTTCCCCGAAGCCTAAAATGTTAATGGTAATAATATCAATTATTCTGCTGCTGATCATCATCATACTCATGATGATCATCATCATCATTATCATGATGATGCTCCCTTTGATGGTGATGCTAGCTGATGATGATGATGGTGATCATCATGATGATGACGCTCTCTTTGGTGGTGATGATGGTGGTGATAAACATAATGCTGATAATGATGCTGCCGGTAATGATAATGATGGGGATGTTAATGACGATCATTATGTTGCAGGTTATGATGGTGATGATGATAATGATGTTGATCATCACGCTGGTGATTATGGTGATTCTGGTAATGATCACGATCCTGCCGGACATGATGATGGTCGTGGCGACGTTCTTTAGAACTCACCCGTTTGTCGCCCCTCAGCTCAGCAAATAACAAAGCAACGTCGGAGTTTCTATCACATCAATTATTACAACAATCCTATCGATGATGACTAAAAATGATGATGATGATGGACGACGATCTCATCACTTGTTGTTGAAGTCCTTGTTCTCAGCAGGCGACTCGGAGCGTACCGTCTTTTATGCGTGGTGGGGTCCCCCCGCCTCTCCCGCCCCCCACCAATCCACTACCCCACCTCCACCCACCTCCACCAACCCCCCCACCCCCACTAATCTACCCGACCCTACCAATCCCTTCCCCCACCTCACCCCACCACCAAGGCCCCTACCCCCCATCTCCCTCCACCTCCCCCCATCCCTCCCGTACCGGCACAACATCTCAAGGGAAGACCTCAGAGTGGGTTGTTGAGTGGGGGTTGTCGTCATCGTTGTTGTGGGGTGTGGTTGTTGTTGTGAGGTGTGGTAGTGGTGGTTGTTGTTGTTGTGCCAAGGGGGAACGCCTCGTTGTGCAAGGAGCAAATTAGCAATTAGTGTGGAGGGTGGGGTGGGGGCACCAGGGGGAGACGGTGGGTGCACAGGGATGCAAGAGGGTGGCACGTGTCTCCTGCTCTCTCCGAAATGGGCGGTGCTCAGGAATAGCCAGGGAACGACCGAGACAATGGAGAGAGGGGGAGAGGGGAGAGCGAGGTGCATGAAGCAGTGACGCTTCGTGGCTGCACTTATGTCAGATTTTCTTTCAGTTTGTGTTTTTTTTGCTTTCTTATGAATTTTGGTGAGCCAGGCCACTGCACTCACCCAACTAGCCAGACACTCATTCACTCATCCAGACACTCACTCACTCAGCCAGCCGCTCACTCAGCGACTCACTCACTCTCTCAACCAACCATTCGCTCAATCAGCCAGCCACTCACTCACTCTCTCAACCAGCCGCTCACTCACTCAGCCAGCCACTCACTCAACAAGCCAGTAGCCACCCACTCACTCAGCGACTCACACACTCTCTCAACCAGCCACGCGCTCAATCAGCCAGCCACTCACTTACTCAGACAGCCAATCACTCACTCAGCAATCCACTCACTCACTCAGCCAGCCACTCACTCACTCAGCCAGCCACTCACTCACTCAGCCAGCCAGCTGCTCACTCACTTAGCAACTTACTCAATGCAGTGTGAGAGAGTGTAATGGTAGTGCCATGTGTCACGAGCCTATCCTGGTTAAGAACAACTACACTTACGTATACATAGAGCACGGTTGGCTACGTACGGTGCGAAAGAAGTTCAACGCACGTAAGCACATCTTTTTTAAAATTAATTTAATGCTTTAAAATGGCTGACAACAGGGGAGGTGAGTGCTGTGGTGATGACGTTCCAAGGCGTAATGACGTTACAAGGCGTGATGACGTTACAAGGCGTGATGACGTTACAAGGCAACGTAGCGGAACGGCCATTTGCTACATTCGGTCCAAACAAGCGAGGAATTTCGAATTAAAGCTTTCGTGACTGCAAGGATTCATCTTCTTTGGTTCTTTCGGTAAAGTCACGTAGAATGAGAATAAAGTTAATAAATTGATAAAATAAAATAACGCAATAATATTCTCTTAGTATCCATTGGAAAGATGTTTTAAACCATTTCCGTTCTTAATTAATTGTACTTTACGATGACCTTCAGACCGCAGCTCTTTCACTGGCATTGACTCTTAATACCTCTCACACCACGGTTAATGGTATGGTTTACAACATGGAGTATAACAGCGCCTCGCAGCTGTCTCTCTCCCCCTTCTCTGTTCCGACCTTGGATGAACTCGTCCGTCTGAACGGGGCCGTAGCTATCCGTGGTGCTAAAGTTGAGGGTAAGAATCCACCCATTTTTTCGCCATATAGCATAGTGATATATAACGACTTATTGTTGGTAGCTTAGTTGATTGGAGAATATATAGAGTTTATTGTTAACATTGAGGTAATTTATATTTAAGTTTTTTTTTATTGGTTCACTATATAGTATTCATCCTATATTGTAGTGTATACCCAGTTACTGTGAATAGCTCAGATGTGTAGGCCTTAACTTCAACATAGCCATTTCTGAGACAAGTCACAAGCTAATCACTCAGTTATTTCAATGCTAAATTCGCCTAGTTATTTCAATGCTAAATTCTCCTGTTTGATTTGTACTAGGTGCCTCTGTGAATGTATATGCTCTGACTTTAACATAGCTATTTCTGTGACCAGTTACAAGCTAATCACTCAGCTATTTCAATGCTAAATTCTATGATAATTCCTTTGTCAAGGGGTGCCTCTGCGGATGTGTATGCTTTAACTTAGCTATTTCAATGCTAAATTATATGCTAATTCCTTTATCAAGGGGTGCCTCTGCGGATGTGTATGCTTTAAATTTAACAAAGCCATTTCTGTGACCAGTCACAAGCTAATCACTCAGCCATTTCAATGCTAAATTCTATGCTAATTCCTTTGTCTAGGCGCTTTGTTTCTTCTCACACAGCTTAAAGGTCGCGATCTGAGCGTGGCTTTTTCACTCCAGCGCTGTCCTCCAGACAGTCTCGTCCCTTCACCTGATGAAGGCCGCTTGTGTTGTGGCCGAAACGTCGTGAGAATTTTATTGTGTTATTTTATTTTATCAATGTATTATTTTATTCTCATTCTACGTGACTTTACCGAAAGAACCAAAGAAGAAGCGAGGAATTGCTAAGAATCAAGGTAAGAACTTTCTAACTTCTAACCCAGTGGTTCTTAACCTTCACTTGCAGCCTTGCACCCATTTGGTTCTCAATAGTAACACACAAAAAACTATCATGTTAATACACACGGACATTGATGAAACAAAATACATTTTGACTTAAAGCTTTCGTGACTGCAGGAATTCATATTCTGTGTATCTTTCGGTAAAGTGACGTAGAAAGAAAAAAATATAACAATAAAATAAAAAATATAAAGTGAATAAAAAAATGTAAATATATATCAAGTAATTTATTATCTTTTTTATTCACTTTATTTTCATTTGTATTATTTTATTGTTATCATTATTTTTTCTATCTACGTGACTTTACAGAAATAAAAATAGAATATGAAACAAAATTAATTGTAACTTACGTGCCCCATGCTTAATTTGTGTTGTCAATGATTTACTTTCTAAACAAATCAGGCAATGTCTCGCATCGACCCCCATCCCAGGTTAAGAACCATTACACTATAAACTACACTATACACTACTTTACAACAACACTACGCATTCCACTATACACTCCACATTATACTCCACTGTACACTGCTATGCACTACACTTTACACTACTATACACTCCACACTACTATACACACTATGTCATATTCTACAATTTACACAACTATAGACTACCCACTACTATCCACTACACTATAGACTACACTGTACACTACAATACACTACACACTATGCCATATACTACACTTTAGATGACTATACACTACCCACTACTATCTACTACACTATAAACTAATATACACTACACTACAATACACACTATGCTATATACTACACGAGACAATGCTATACACTGCACGACCCCAGGTTAAGAACCACTGTTCTAAACACTATTATTATAGTCATCGTTTCTCTGGAATTCACCGACTCTCAAATCACTCGCAAGCGGATTTCCAAAGGGTGCTCTTCACAGGCCACGCTGAAGGTCAGTGGCCAGCTCGGACGAACCCTCTCAACCTTTGGTGTGATTCACATCGAGCCTACCAACAGGAAGCGATGTTTCATTTAATCTTTTTACGTTGATGGGGAGGGCGGAAGTCTGCACAACAACAACAATAAAACAACAACCGACCACCGCCACCACTGCCTCCCCCACGCCCCTAATTGCTAGGCCAAATTTTACTTGGCAACAACCTCGCCAGCCCTCGCCTGACCTCCGCCGTCCTGAGTCCGTAGATGACTGGGTTCAGCGCGGGCGGCAGGATGAACTGGACGGTCTGGAGGGCGGTCACCCCCTCGCCGGACATGGCCGCGCCCAGCCTGAGGCCCGTGGCGAACGTGAAGAAGATCGACGTGAAGTAGACGAGCACGAGGAGCAGGTGCGTGACGCACGTGCTCAGGGCCCTCCGGCGCCCGCCGGGGAGCCGCTGCCCGCGGCACTCGCGGAGGATGAGCACGTAGGAGGCCGCGACGGCGCCCAGCGGCAGCGCGGTGCCCAGGAGGATGTTGGCGTAGACGACGGGCGCCTCGTAGCCCACCTCGCCGCACATGAGCCGGCGCACGGCCGAGAAGTCGCACGTGGACGAGGGCACGACGCGCGCCCGGCAGAAGCGGAGTCGCGCGACCACGGCGACGTAGCCGGCGCCCTTTGATCGCCCCCTTTTATATGGCCGAACAAAAAGCTGTTTCGGCATGCGGTGGCTGGGCATGCGGTCTACATGACGCAGCCAACGCAGCCTTGCCTGCCGGAGGAGCTCAACGATGTGACTTTGTCCGAATCTTTCAATTGATTTATTAGCTCCTCCCATAACCCAGCCTGGATAAACCCAGCAAGGGTTGTAGGCAGGCCAGCCTGAATGTTTCTTACTGCCGAAGATGTTCCGTTAGGGCGGTCAACGTTTTGCAAGCGTAGAGAAGGGAGGGGATGATCATTGCCGAGAAGACCCGAAGCTTTGAGTGGAGTGACAGACCAGGTAGCTTCCGCACAGGGTAATCCAACTGATGAAAATTTTATGCCACTAAACTGATTCGGAGTAAGAATTCTACTTTCAAACCAGAGTCTGTCTTAAGCACACTGCCCAGGTATGGAAAACTCTCCACTCTCTCCACAACTGCCCCAAAACCAATGGGGAGCTGAGGGGGTGGAGTGTTTGATGGCACACAATACCCAGGCAGGTGCTTAGTTTTGGAGGGGTTGATGATAAGACGCCATCTCCTTGTGGCATGCTCTAGATCTAGCAGCAGCGCCTCCAACTCTTCCTCTGAGTAAGCAGCAATCACCAGATCATCGGCATAAAAAACATGGTTTACCAATAGAGAGCCATCCCATGACCGCACCCGGGCATCTATCAGACTCCTATTGTATATGTACCAGATGGAGATTCCACCAGTACAGGGATGGAAGGCTTCTCCAACTACGTGGTCAAAAAAGATGTTAAATAATGTGGGAGCCAGAGGACATCCATGTCGAACCCCAAGGTGAACAGGGAATGGCTCCAACTCCTGGCCACGCATCTTTACCCGGACCGGCCCACCATCATGAAGGTCCTTAAATATTGTTAGCAGAAAGTCAGGAACTCCGAAAGTATGGAGAAAACCCCAGAGCCCAGTCCTTTCGATAGTTTCACAGGCCTTGGCCAGGTCAATAAAGCAGAGACGTAGGTCCTTTCGGCATTCCCTACACCTCTGCTGTAGCAAACTGATGGAAAATATGACATCTGTGCAGGACTGCACTGGGGTAAAACCATTGGGCCTCTGCAAGCCTCTCCTCAGCGTGCCTGGCAAGGAAATGTTGAATAATCTTTGCCAGGACCTTTCCCAGCAGAGTTGTTACAGTCTGTGCAGTCCCCCTTCTTAAGCACTGTTATTATGAAGTAATATAGTGCAGTCTGCACACAAACGCCACCTTTCCTTAGCACGTATATAACCTCCTTGTTGTAACAGCTCTCTCGCTTGTTCAGCAGTTCCACTGCTGGATTATATTTTTTCTGCCTGAGGACGACTGCCTGTGTTGCGATCGAAACATCGTGATTTATTGTTACTTTATACCTATGTGGCTTTACTGAAAGAAGCAAAGAGTGTCATAGAATTTTGATTTAAAGCTTTCGTGACTGCAGTAATTCATATTCTTAGCTCTTTCGGTAAAGTCACGTTGAAGGGAAACAATAAAATAATAAAATATATAATAAACAATAAAAATTCTCACGACGTTTCGACCATAACGCAAACGGTCATCATCAGGTGCATTCCTCCTTCTGTAGGGATGTAAGCAACCGCCACCATCCCTCACCTCCTGTTTATAGCAAAGGCGAGCCCACAGTAGCCTGGGGCTTACACCTTCCCAAACATCACCTCCACGCTTCCATGCCCCCTTCATGTTTTTTGTTCAGAAGAAGAGCCACTCCCTGTTGTTTGGCAGTCTCCTGCAATCGTAGAGGACTGTCCACCCCTCATGGTGACTGGAGCCAGATCCAGTCCACCGTACCTAATGAAAGCCGCAGAGATCCAGGTGATACTAGTCCAGATCCCGACAGAGGAGTGGCAACTCTCCTGCGCTTTGAGCGTTTGAACATTCAACATTGCCACTTGCAGTAATTTTTTTGCCATTTCTGGAGCAACCCCGAGGGTATGAAATGAGTCCAACTGCGGCCTCCGGGACACGCTTAGTTAGATTTTTTACACGTCTTTTTGCGGTATTTGAATTGAAGGTCGAGGGGTTACCAGACTCTCGCACGCGTCCAGAGACCCCATTCGTGGCTGTGGTGGCTAAAAGCATGAAGAGGGGAAAAGCCAATTGGAATTGGCCATTCCTCATATGGCGTTGGTCACATCAATCACGGCGTTATCATCCGGCACCACCAAGGTGGTCGGGTGTTATTTATGCGTCCGCGTGTACGTGGTACCGCGCATCCCGCAGGGAGCTGAGAGGGCTACCCGATCCTCGTGTCTTCCTGCAGAGGGGGGAGAGGCTTCCCAGGCCTAACCCGGCTTCGCAAGAACCTGACAAGGCTCTCCTTCACCTCGGCCGTCCGCAGGCCGTAGACAATGGGGTTGAGCACCGGCGGCAGGACGAACTGCAGGCTCTGGAGCGACACGCTCAGCTCCGGCGACGCCGCGGACGAGGGGGTGCCGCCCCCCGCGCCGCTGGCGAACGTCGCGAGGATGGCGCCGAAGTAAATGGCCGCCACCACGAGGTGGGTGCCGCACGTGCGCAGGGCCTTGTTCCGGCCGCGGCGGAGGGCCGGCTTGCGGCACTCGTGCAGGACGAGCGCGTAGAAAGCCGCGATGGCGCACAGAGGCAGCGCTATGCCCGCCACCGACATGGCGTAGGTGTACGCCTGCCCGAGGGCGACGTGGTTGCAGGACAGCACCCTGAGGGCCAGGAAGTCGCACGTGGACGTGATCAACGAGCGCGGCTTGCACAGGTCGAGATTGACCGCGATGGCGACGTAGCCGAGGCCCTGGGCGGCGGCGAGCGCGACGGCGAAGGCCAGGGCCCTGAGGGCGACGGCGTTGGATGCCGCGCCGCGGTAGGCGAGCGGTCGGCACACCGCCAGGTAGCGGTCGGCAGCCATGGCCGCCAGGATGTAGCCGTGCACGCGGAAGGACACGTGGTAGGCGAACATCTTGGCAATGCACCAGGGCGCCGAGATGCGGGGGGAGTCGCCGACGAGGTCGTACATCGTGCGCGGCAGCGCGTTGGTGTTCTCCACCAGGTCGGTGACGGCCAGCGCGGCGACGAGCAGGTGCATGGGCTTGTGCAGACGACGGTCGCGGGCGATGGCGAGGCACAGCAGCGAGTTGCCCGCCAGCGTGAGGGCGTAGACGAGGAGGAGGAAGGCGAACACGGAGCGCCTGATGGTGGGCGGCTCGCGGAACACCATCTGGATGTGGATGAGGTCCGTCGCGGCGGCGGCGGCGGCGGCGAGGAGGGGTGCGGAGACGTTGGGCCCGGGGCCGTCCTCCATTTTGTAATTTGCTGCGAGCGGGAAGATGGCGGCCACTGCTGTCGCCGTCCCCTCCCACGTGACGCCTCTCCCCTTTGCTCCCCCCAAAAAACTCGAGGGTGGGACTGTGGGGGAGGGGGGGGGCGGGGGGAGGGATTAAGTTTGAGCGAGTGCTCAGTTCGTTCGTTGAGCGGCGACGCACGTTCGGCTGGATACCGCTGTGAAAGAAACATGTCACTACATTTCTAGATTTGAAGCTTTCGTGACTGCAAGGATCCATTCTCTTTGGTTCTATTCGGTACAGTCACGTAGGTAAGAAATTAAACAACAAAAATCACGACGTTTCGGCCACAACACAAGTGGCCTTCATCAGGTGAAGGGACCAGACTGTCTCGAGGACAGCGCTGGAGTGAACACAGCCAAGCTCAGACCGCGACCTTTAAGCTGTGTGAGAGGAATCACGGTGCCTTGACAAAGGAATTAGCATAAAAATTAGCATTTAATTGTCGGACTTAGCATGATGATTAGCATTTAATTGGCTAAGTCCGCTAATTAAATGCTAATTTTTTATGCTAAATCCTTTGTCAAGGCACCTTAATTCCTCTCACACAGCTTAAAGGTCGCGGTATGAGCTTGGCTGTGTTCACTCCAGCGCTGTCCTCGAGACAGTCTGGTCCCTTCACCTGATGAAGGCCACTTGTGTTGTGGCCGAAACGTCGTGATTTTTGTTGTTTTATTTTTTACCTACGTGACTTTACCGAATAGAACCAAAGAGCATGTCACTACATCTCCATGAGTAAAAGAAAATGAGTGATACCCCCGATAATGCAATTTGAACTTATTTAAAGGCGCCACGGTGGCAAGGAGATGTTAACTACCTTGCCCGGTATGCGGGAGATTGTGGGTGCCTATCCTGAACCTGACGATGCCTGATTTATATTTGGAGTCTCTGTGTCTCTCTCTGTTTTGAGATGTCATCTACCTCGCCTTGTATGCAGTAGGTCGGGGGTTCGATCCCGATCCTGATGCCTGCTGTGCATTTGGAGTTTGCATGTTCTCTCCCGTGGTCACGTGGATTGGTTTTCTCCGCAATTATAACCATGCGTGTAGACTACAGGTAGTCCCCGACTTCTTATGGAGATGCGGTACGATGACCCCATCTTAAGTCGAAAATATCGTAAGTCGAAAATGGCCTAGTCTACCCAGGAGTCTTAAAGAATGGTTATAATTTAGCAAAACAGAGCAATTCTAAGTACCGTACTGTATAAACTATATACTGTATGTATTTATTAATTACAATACTGTATTGCACAGTAAAATTGTAAGTAAAAAACTCGGTAAATTCTTAGCCTACCTATATGAACTACAATTTCATGGAAAGTTTTTCTCAGGAAACAATCCTATCTGCTAAACAAACTTTTAACATGCATTGAACATAACATATCATATCGTGGTGAACCTAAAATGAAATCGCTAAAGCTATGAATCATACATGCATTGAACGTATCATAACGTATCATATTCTACTGTACTCACCAAGATTTTCTCCGTCGTCTGCATACTTTAGAAAAATGTTAGGTTGTTGATGGCTACATTGACTTAGTTGTCGGAAGAGGAGGATGGCGATGATCAAGTTACAGTATCGTACCTCGTACGCTGCTGCGTTTGCCTGACGCGCAAATTCTATTTTTTACAATTTTGTCATGTCGCTATCGTCATCGTAAGATCGAAATATCGTAAGTCGGAACCATCGTACGTCGGGGACTACCTGAATTTTGATTATTTCACTGCTCTAAATGTCCAAATGATGGTGGGTGGCCACTGTGGTCAGCCCTCAGTGTTTGTTGCCGGGTCGCTTTTGAACAATAAGTTGATACATCAGTGGGGCTTTGCCCCGGTAGGACACGGGATGGTTTATTGTTGTATTTGTTTGTGTTTGGGTGATTGTGTTTACGTCTCTTGTACTTTACACTCCTATCGTGTTTTTGGAATGTTTGTTGTTGTAACGTTCTTACCTCCGTAATGCCCCTACTGGATATCTGCGAATAAAGAGCTTCATAGCTCATCGGAATTCTCCAGCAGTGTCGATACAGATTCTGATTTTGCACGTCTCTACGGTTTTAACGTCGTTTCACAATCATTATTACTCACGCC